CCCTCTCCCCCCCCCTCTCCAAATAGGGATTGTAATGCCTGCTTCTCAGAGCAGCTGGGAGAATAGCCTGCTATGCGATGAGGAATCCACTGGTTTAGAATAAACCCCTCAAGTCAGAGCTCACCTCTGGCAGCAGGAGTGCAATGATGGGAGGTGGTTTTGTGCCAAAAACTGTTCCTGCAGGGCTGCCATTTCGAGTGAGCCATGCCATCAGCTCCATCAGAGTCACAACCCACGGGGGTGGGGGGGGGTGGGCGGTGATATGTCATTTTTATACTATACTTTTTGCTATTAAGTCAGGGAAAGGTACTCAGCCCTGGCTCTAATTTGCATTTTTTTGGTTATAATTTAGGATCATATTTTCTCATGATTTGTTTACTATTTTTAAACCTCTATGGAGTTTTTTTGTGTGAAATATTTTAATCTTTTTCCAGATAGCTAATGGGATGTTAGTATAAAGAACCATTAAAATGCACCATTAACTTGAAAAGATACGATTATCTCCCAATTGTAATATTAAAAAACCCTCTCTGCTTTGTTTGCTTTTTAGTTTGTTGGTTTTTTGTTTCCTTCTGCAGGTTGTGAATATTTTATATTCGTGTGCGTTTGTTTATCCCGTTGTGATTCTTCCTGTTGCTTCAAAGCTGAGATTGCTCCCATGGCCCAGGCCTCATGCATATTCTGTCCCGTTACCTGTAGACTTTGTTTGCAGATTTCTAAAGTTTTAGTTTCTGGTTGATCTGCACCTTATTTTACCTTAAATATTTTTCCATAATTTGTAGACACTAAAAATGCGAGCCTATTAAATGACATTTCACGGATGCTCATTCCCGAAGGCTGTGATCCAATCTCCCCCTTTTTAAAAAAATATATTTTTATTGATTTCAGAGAGGAAGGGAGAGGGAGAGAGAGAAACATCAATGATGAGAGAGAATCATGGCTCGGCTGCCTCCTGCATGCCCCACACTGGGGACTGAGCCCGCAACCCGGGCATATGCCCTGACTGGGAATCGAACCGTGACCTCCTGGCTCACAGGTCTAGGCTCAACCACTGAGCCACGCCATCCAGGTTCTTTGTTGTTGTTGTTTTTTAAAATTATGGAACATTTCATAAATTTGCATTTAAAAATATGGAACATTTCACCCTTGTGCAGCAAGCAGGCAGATCATCTGTGTGTCTGTTCAATTTCAGTGCATTTGCTGCTGGAGCCCTGGCCGAGGCGTCCACTGTCCACCTGTGAGCTTTCCCTAATTCTACTCCTTCCCGGTTGTGGAGTGTTTGGGGGTAACCAGCCTCTGATCCCCACCTTATTGCCTGGGGAGGGGCAGAACCTGAGGCGGGCAGCTCTGTGTCCAGACTCAGTGCCCTCAGTGAGCAGACCTTGGTGTCCCCAGGCCCCGGGCAGGCACTGCGCTGCGGGCCGCCCATGTGCTTGGTGGTGACACTTCTCCACCCACTCCCGGTTTTCCAAACACCGT